TTTTTTTTTTTTTTGGCGACAGGGTCTTGCTCTGTAGCCCAGGCTAGCCTTGAGCTTTCAGCAGCCTTCCTGCCTCAACCTCCTGAGTGTTGGGATTACAGGCACATACCACCACACCAGGCAGGAGTTTTCAAAATTTTTGAAGCCCATTGGCTCTGAGAAATCCAAAGTTAGCAGCACTGATATGTAATAAATGGAATGTTCCATCTCTCAGCCAAACCTGGTGCTTTTTCTACTGGATGTGTTGGTAGATGCTGAATTTAGCTGGAGTAAAGTACTGCCTGTACCATATCTCTAAGAGTTTTTCTTTTCCTTTGTCCTGTTTTAGGCACAAATGATTGCAGTCCACTAAAATGAGACATTTTGGACCAAGGATAATTTAAAGCAGCGCAGCCATAACTTGGTGCCCTAGTTCTGTCTCTCTTGGGCTGTGATACCTGAAAGCAGCTAACAGCTCTCTTTATAAAATGGGTTACTGCTGCTAATTTGTCTCTCAGAGGTGCTGCACAGATTCAGATGAGACAGTGTAATGCTCAGAAAATGGATTTGGTTGTGAGCAGAATCATTATGGGAACTTGCGGTGTGTGATAGCCATGATTCCTGCATGGAGTAGCTCTCGCCATTCAAAGCCTCTGCTCTACCAAAGCCAGCGCCTGCGCCACACCACACACGCCTGAGCACAGCTCCTCAGTGGCTTGAAGGGAAACAGCCAAGGTCACACCTGTCCCAAGCTGGGGTGCAGATAGCCCAAACCTTTGAGATTCATCCAGTTTCATTTCCTTTTTCTTTTTTTTTGAGACAGGGTCTCACTATGTAGTTGAGACTGACCTGGAACTCACTATGTAGCCCAGGCTGGTCCCGAAGTCACAGTGATCCTCCTGCCGCAGCCTCTCGAGTGCTGGGATTATAGGCGTGTGCCACCATGCCTGGCCCCATCCAGTTTCTTTTAAAAGTCTGTTTTAAGAAAGAGGAAGGGCTGGGGATTTAGCTCAGTGGTGCCACCACCTGCCTCACAAGCACAAGGTACAAAAAAAAAAAAAAAAAGAAAAGTTTTTCTCTTATCTTTAATCGTGTTTAAAAATTTTATCTTTCTCTCACCTCAAATTTTTTATTTTTCTCTTCTTTTTCTTTTCTTCTTCTCTCCCTCCCTCCCTCTCTCTCTTCCACCTTGCACAGGGCTGTCTTTCGAGACTGATTTCAGAGACAGGCTCACTTGGTTCTTGCCAGGTCTTTTCACCTCTGTCCACCAGTTACAGTATTACAGACACACCTGGGTCTTCATCCTGGCTTCTTTATTTTAGAGCGGACAGACTGAGGCCCACAGGCTGCCCAGGCACACACAGTGGAATCACGGCTGGCCTTTGACCTGTAGGTTTTCTTTCCCCGTGTGCCACAGGGAGGTAGGTGTCCTTCTGAAGCAAAGAAACACTTACCCTTAATACCAGGCTGTGATTTCACTTGAAATTTGACTCCTCTTTACGTCCTCTCACCTATGATGGGGAATGCTTGAAGCTGTCACCAGTCTTGTGAGGAAGGTTAGGTGTCAGGGCTGGTGGTGGTTGGGGCTCCGTCAGGGAGAGGAGACAAGAGGACCTCATAGTTTTGCTCTGGGCTGACCTCAGTGGCCTCTGCCTCAGTCCACCTCATGGAAACTTTACTGGAAGAAACCTCCCCTAGCGGACACCATCACAGAGGCCCCGCTAGACTGAGATCTCATGGTCTGCCTCCTCCAAAAGGGTGGCCTGGTCCCCCCGGCTCTACTCACAGTGTTGGGCTTCTGGGCCACAGGCCATGGGCTTCCCGCCGAGCCCTTGGCAGAGGACTCCTGTTTGCTGTGCCATGCAGCCCCGGGTGACTGGGGGACCTGGCACAGCTCAGGAAGAGCCTCTGCCTTCCCCTCCAACCCAGCCCTGAAAACCAGGCTTAGCCGGGTTCCTCGCCTTGCTGCTGCCAGCTTGGCTCCTGGGCCCCAGGCGGGTGCCCCATCCACACCTGCAGAACTTGTTCTTGCTTTAAGCCTAGGTGAGCCAGGCACTCACTTCTGTAACTGAATCTTTATCCCTCCTTAGGGCTTTGTTCCCTTGGCTGTGGAAACCTTGGGAACTCCTGGGCTGGGCAGCTTGACTCTTTGTGTCTGTGTTTGTGTGTCTGTCTGTGTATCTGTCTGTCTTGCTCTTTCCGTTTCTCCAGTTCCGGCTCCTTCCATCTCAGTCTTCCTCTCCACCACTGTCTTTGGAGGGCACCCCTCTCTCTCTTGATCTCATCCTCTCTGCCTCTCGTCCTGATGAGTAGGACACTAAGACCATGAGCAGGCTTTGTCCACAGTGACTCTCAACTCCATCTCCCAGGCATTGGCCCTGCTCCTTGGCCAATAGTTGTGTCCCACTTAACTCCCCCGAGATGGATGGGCTGCTCGCCACTGATCCTGCTGCCCTCCCAGGGGCCGCAGCCGGTGTCCCATGATCGACACGCCCTCATTTCCTAAATGAAAGTGAGAAACCACTCACATCGCCCCTTGCTGTGACCCCATCTCACGGGATCCTCTCCTGGTCCCACGAAGAGGAGAGCAGAGGGCTCAGAGAAAAGGGATGTGGCTGAGACCAGATGGCTGAGTGTGTAGGGAGCAGAGCTGCCCCAGCCCCAGCCCCACCCATGTCACCGGGAAGTGACCATCCTGTCCTAGAGCGGCTCCCTACCAAACCCAGTGCCGCCTGCTGCCCCCCACCCGGTGACTTTTTCTCCCAGGGAGCTGCCTCTGCATTCTCTCCAGCCTTACAGACCATGCTTGTCCAGAAACCAGGAGGCCCTGGGTCCAGCAGTGCAAACTGAGCAGAGAACACACACGGCAAAGGTTAAAAATCTTGTTTTCAAATCCCATTTGCTGTTCCTGCCTGGAACTATGAATTGTTAATTCAATTCTGGCTTAATTCTAATTTAATTTCGGCAGACTCCATCTGTTTAGATTCAACACGTAGCTTGACATGGAGCAATGCGGCTCAGCTCGACCGCTCCTCTGGGGAGTGCCTCGTTGGGAGGAGGCTGCCAGCTTGGGACAGCCGGGCTGTCTCCCCTTGCTGCCCCTCTCCTCCCTGCATGCACTTCCTGTGTCTCTTCTGGACCCAGTCCTCCTCTTAAGATGTGCTGAAGATAGAATTACACCATCTAGCAACAAAACAATGCTCCCGCTGAGTGAACACTTGGGTACTTATTAGCTGTCTTTAGTCCTTTCTCTTTTCCTCCCTCCCTGCCCCTTTGATCTGCTTTCTTGTTGGACTCTGCCCTCTCTCCCTTTCACCTTCTTGGATACCTTTGCTCCTGGCGTCTCGCCTTGATCCCTCACCACAGCATCTCCCAGGTGTCCCTGCTTTTCCCGACGGTTGGTCCCCCAGCTCCCTGAAGCTGGGGCCAGGCAGAGGGGCACAAATGTGAGTGTTCCCAGGCGAGCCAGCATCCACCTCAAGTCCTTGGGGCCCCTCGAGTGCTGGCACTGAGCTTGTCGGTGTCTGAAAAAGCACCCTGTCCACCTTTGAGCAGGCTCACAGACCTTCACTTCTCTCATTTTAAGAAAAGATTCTTAACGGACTTTATTATCAGGTGGGCTTCCTCCCTCTACCTGACTGACACACTGCTGGCTTCCAGGAAATGTCACCCATTCTCAAGTTCCGTTTCTCAGTGTTAGAACCCAGTTTTTCTTCCACAGAAAGTGCCCGTGTTCCCCTTTGTCTGGTACAGTGATTCCAGTCATTTCCTGCCCAGAGCGAACACTCAGATACTTATTAGCCGTCATTAGTACTTTCTCTTTCCCAGCGCTGGGCATGGTGACCCTGCCTAAGGTGACCATCTCAGATCCCTAAGTGCCAGTGTGGGGATTGCCTAGGGACTCCGACCTGACTCGGGTGGAGAGTTCCTCCTTAGCTTGGGGTCTTTGCAGGTCAGAGTCCGGGTCCCCTCAGGTCCCCTGGCATGCTGTGACAGCCTCCTTAGGAGTCTCCCGGCTTCTGTCCCACTCCCTGCCAAGTCTTGCTCCTCTCCTTGCCCTTCCCAAAGGAAAAAAACAAAAACGAATCATTCCCTCCTAGTCCTCAGGAGGAAGTCTTAGCTTACAGCACCCCTTGGACTCCAGGCCTTGTCCCCTTCGCCAGCTCCTGTGCATTCTTAAAGACCCAGCCCAGTCTTCACCTCCTCCAGGAAGCCTTCCCAGATTGATCCCCCCACTCTACCGCTCCCTGCTGTCTTCTTTATCTTCCTTCCTGTTGGGCTGTGAGCAGAGGAAGGAGTCTGTCCTCCTCTCCTTACTTCCACAGAGCCCTGAGTTGTGCCAGCTGTCTGTACAGGCAGGCAGCGTCACCAAACCAAGCCATCTTCAGAAGAGCCTTCCTATCCTGTGACACTGGCTCTTACTTCAGGAAGCACCTCTTGGAACAGAGGGAGCCCCCAAGGTGGCTTTGGGTGTGAGGGGCCTGTGCCGTTGGCACTCCTCAAGCCTGGGGGCCACCACACCCGCTGTTTCCTCTCATTGTGCCTCCTTTCCTGTTTAGCTAGACTGGGAGACTGGCGACGTTTTCCCTGCCTTTGAGGACTGAATGGAGCTGTTTCTCCTGTGTCTCCCCCAACATCTCCTAAGACCCAAATCTCCAACCCACCAATGGGCTCTGGAATTTCCATACTCGGGTTCAAATTCCACTTCTGCCTGCTAAGCTGTGTGTGGAGCAGCAAGGGTCTCACCCCCCCGTGCCTCAGTTTCCCCATTTTATACAAAGAATGAAGAATATATCTTGCCTGAGTCTGTGAGGGCTTAGTGAGCTAGGGCTGTCCCTGCCTCTGGGCAGCATGAGCCTTGGTCTCCGGCCCTATGGATGTGGGGGCTCTGGGGAGAGCCCAGCTGGACACTGCTGGATGCCTCAAGTCCAAACATCCTGTGCTTTTTTGAACTCTTTACTGGAAAAACAAGGAAAAGCTGCAGTTTTTTTTTTTTTTTCCTCTACCGGTATCGGGTAACACAGAAAACACAAGCCGGGCTGGCTTGAGCTGCTGCTTTAATGGCTGGGAGCAAATCTCAGCTACCGAACAGGGTGGCGGCTCCTTCCCCGGATTAAGGCTGATTCCGTGGGAACTGGACCACCCCTGAGACAGAAGGGCAACCCCGATGCCTCCCCAGGGCCTGGGTCTACACCAGAGCCCCTTCCTCCTGGGGAGGGGGCGCCCTAGGCTCACGTCTCCCCCGCTCCTCCTGCCTCCCTCGCTGCAGGTGAACTTCCGCGGCCCCCGGAGCGGCCAGAGGTGCTGGGCCACACGGACCCAGGTGGAGAAGCGGCTGATAGTTCTGGTGGCACTTCTGGCAGCAGGACTAGTGGCCTGCCTGACAGCACTGGGCATCCAGTACCGGACAAGTAGGTGTCTGCGTTCCGTGGTGGGCTTGGTCTCCTTCTGCCCTGTACTCTGTCCATGTGTGCAAAGGGCTTCTCTGCTAGGCCTTGGAGTCTACTTCAAGGATCAGCGTCATGAGCTAGACTGAGCGGGGGGGTGCAGGCATACAAAAATTTTGGGGTGAGAAGGACATGAGTCTACATCCTGACTTGGTAATTTATAGGCAGTGTGCCCTTAGACAAGCCACCTGATTTCCCAGAGCCTGTGTCTTCTCTACTTTAAAAGGGAATACAGTGCCTCGTTTAGGGATGGTGATGGGCACATCCTGGTGCTGCGAGTAGCTCTGGGCGTGGTTCAGAATGCGGGCCAGTTAGATGCAGGCTACCACAGTCTGCCAACTTTAGTCCCAGTGAAATAGCAATGATGGCTTTAGCTTATGAACAGTTTCCAAGGACCAAATGCTCTCTGTCCTTGACAGATGCACGCTCATTTCGTCCTCACAGCAGCCTTGTGAGGTGTGCTTTCTCCTGGTCCTCTTCCATATGAGGAAACTGAGGCACTGTGGCTGAGTGACGTGTCTAAGGGCACATGGCTAGGAGGGGATGGAGTAGGGTAGCTGAAGTTTGCCCATAGGCTGTGGGGCTGGGGTGAGGGGACCCCACTTCCCTTTGTAATCATGGTGCATGAATATTAGTACCCCAGAGAAGCTGTCTTGTGTCCAAAGTGTCTATCCCACCTTGTTTGGCAACAGGATGGGCCCCTCTCTCATCCTGCTGCCAGGGGCCTAACTCTGGTTCTATGGGTCCAGCCCAGTAGATTTGGCCGATCGCCTCACTGAACACTTAATGCTTATAGAACTAGAAAGGGTGGGTCCAGGTTAAAATCTGACAAGGGATTTCAGCCAATCCCAGAGTCCTTCACTCTTCTGTGGCCCAGTATCCAGAATTCCGATGGTCCCCCTGATTGGGCAGCCAGAGGGGACTTTGCTCAGGGTCCCCCCACCAATTTAGTCACTCACCCTATCAGAGAGATTGTGGCTGTGTTTGCCTTCACCACAGCAAAGGCGCTGGCCTCTGAGGTAGCCGTGCTGGAGAAGGTTGGGGAATGGCGTTGGGACCTGGAGAGAGGGCAGGCGTTTCAGCTGGGTCGTCCTTATATCCCTCCTGTGTGGGGCACAGGGTCACTCACCCTATAAACATTTAATGAGTGCTGGCTTGCTGTCAGACACTGGGCTAAATACCTGCTTGGTACTTAAGAAATAATTGCTTGATTATTTAACTATGTAATGCTTTGTGGGTGGTTTACCAGATGCATCTGGCCCGGAAGGTGCTTAATGCGCATCTGATTAATGAAGTACTGATTTCCCAGTCTTTGGACACGTGTACTTAGCATAGTGCTTGCACAGCATAGATGTCCAAATGGTAAGCGGAGTCAATGCTCAGCAGGAAGGGGGACTGAGCTGGGAACAGCCTTTCTCTACTGAGCGTGTCTGTGTCTGTGACTGTGCGAGTGTGCATTTGTGTATGTTGTGTGTGCGTGTGCCAACTCTGCCAGTGGGGCACAAGCTGATCTCGTCTTCATCCTGCAGCTGCCTTCCTGCCTCATCCCAAATCAGCTTCAATTTAGAGCATCCCACTTGTGTGCCTGGGCCCTGGCCAGCACCATCTGCCCGGCCCTTGGCCCAAGACATGGAAGGCAGGCTGGACTCCAGCAGCCGTTGTTGCCCTGGAGCCCCTAGGAGCTCCCAAGGTGTTTCTTCACTAGGAACCAGAAAAGAGCCCCCAGGGGACAGCTCCTTGTGAGCAGACCCAAAACTTGACTGCTGATATTGCCAACGGGGGTCCCTGAAGGACACCTGCTTCAGCCCCCGTCCCAGCCTTTGAGACCTCAGAGGGGTTTTCCCCAGCCTGGACCTGGGAGAACTATGTCTCTCCTCCCCTGTGGTAGAACTGGGCTGAGGGCCAGTGACCCCTGGGACACCAGAGAAAACAGTGGCCACCTCGGTTATTGAGAGTAACCTCATTACACAGCAGCAGTGCTGACATTGGCCACACTTGAGCCAGTCAAAGCAAAGCCTTCAATGATTCTGGAAGCCCCACCTCTGAGTAGCGTCGGGGCATTGAAGCACACCTCGATCTGTCTTCCTGATGTAATCTGCCTTCCACAACCTTGGAGCGGCTTTGGAAATAGTAGCAGCAAAACAAACACATTATCCCAGGACATACTTTACAGCACCTTAGGCGCGTTGAGGCAAGGCACCGTCCAGATGAGGACGTTAGATCTGGGACTGGCTCCTGCTTCCCAACTGATGGTGCACCTTCCTCAAGAGAACCACTCCTACCCCTGGAGGTGGTAACCAAGTGCTGACAAAGCAGAGTGGGTGCTTAATGAAGGACTCGGACCTCGGAGACCAACTTCTGTTCGCTGATTCCTCATTTCACTTTTAAACTCAAGTCCACCTTATAGTCCGTCCGCTGGGTATTTCCACCAGCCAAGATTTTGTCAAGCTTGACTTCCTGTGGTTCAGTATATGAAAACAATAGGTATTCTTTCCCTTTCCCAGACGTGAAGTTGTATCATAATAGTGAATAAGCTTTTTTAAGAACAGTGCAGAAATTCTCCTTCCCTCCCCATCCCGTGAATATTCTGCCACCTCGAATTGGGCTTGGTGACCGATGGAGTTGACCCGATCTAGAAATACTGAAAATGGCAGCCACTTCAACACCATTGAAAGGATTCTCCATGTTCACATTGCAGTAGCTCAGTCATGTTCAACTGTTGCATAAAGTCACCCTGAGTTTCCTGCTCTTGTGGGCTCCCAAGCCCTTTATCCACCACTGTGTGCTCATTAATGGCTGTTGGTGAGACCACAAGGGCACCGCTCCCGACCGCCCACCCCATTGGCAGTGTGTGGTGTGTGTCTGACTGAGGTGAGGGTGGCCCAGGTCATGTTTCTTGCTCTCTAAAGCTTAGCCTGGGACCCTCTGACCTGAGCCCCGAAGAAAGTGAGCCCCGTACCCGGCTTTGAAATCATTCCATTGTCACTGTGAAATTGGTTCTCCTGCTCTAGTTTCTAGATGGAGAAACTGAGGCTCGGAGAGGTGAGGCCACTTGCAGAAGGCCCCACAGGATTTGAACCCAGGTCTCACAGTCTCCAAGCTACCCACCGCGTGTGGTAGTGAAACTGATCTTTCCTGTCCGGCTGCACCAGCCCTTGGCATGGCAGGCAGAGAGGTGGAGAGGGAGCAAGAAAATGCAGTCTTAGAGTTCCTACGGCAGTATAGGCCTGAGCTCAGCTCTGGGTGCTCCCACACGGCAGGGTGCCCTTGTTCCAGTCCCTCTGTAAGAGCTCCGGTGTCCTTATCTTACACAGGGATGTCACACCTGCATCTGATGCCTGCAGTAAGTGCTGGATAAAATGGTGAGCGTGTGTGATGCTCTTGGTGCAGGGCCATTCAGGACATGGTCCCCGCTGCCACCCGAACCCCTGTGTCACCTGGCGTGAGGCTGGGCCTGGGTCCTTCAGCCGTGCAGAGTCAGGTTCATCTTGCTGCCTCTGTTGGGCCCTGGGGAGCTGCCACAGTTGTTCAGGGCTTTTGCTAGAGGCCTCCCAACCTCGAGGCAGGGGTCCGCCCCCTCTTTGTGCCTCTGGCCAACTAGTCTTTCCAGTTTAGTTTTTGAGATTTTTAGTTTGTCTCAGGCTTGTTTAGTTTGGGAGCTTTCTTTTGGAAGATTTGTTGAGATAACTGACTCTCCTGCCTTATGCTCAGAATGTTTTCCTTGGCTTCCTTCCTTTATTCCTACCAGTCTCCCCTTCCTCCAAGGTCCTAGCACCAAGTGGGCAGTGTCACCTCTTTGACGTATAGTCAATACTCCGTTTATTTGTAGAATGAATGGCAGTTTCTCCTATGGTTATCTTTTGATTTTTCTTATATAATGTGTTTATCCCAAACTAGATTATTAGCTCTTAAAGGAAAGGACTTTACCTTTTATATCCTCCATGCCATGTAGTGCCTCCCTTTCCCTCTCCCTCTCTCTCTCTCTCTCTCTCTCTCCAGTAAAGAAGACACTCAGAATTTTGTGGGATAGATGGATGCATGAATGTGTGAATATGTTTGTTGAGCATCAAGGAACAATAAGTCAGTAAATCTTTGTGGAGAGAAGGATTAAGAGAAAAACACACCTTCCCAGTTTCAGGTACTTTGAAGCCACAGAAGGCATTTTAGGCAGCTAAACGGCAGTCTTATTTTACAAGCCAGAAGATCATAAATGTATTGAAATCATTTCTCCTTAGAGATCTACTGACTGTTCCAAGCCTATCTGGTGAGGACTAGGTTGGAATCTTCGTCCCCTGGGCCCCAGGCCACCTGCACTGTCCTCCCACAGCCTCTTCACTGGCTTTTGTCCTCCACGCCCCACAGGGACACCCCCAGTGTGCCTGAGTGAGGCCTGCGTGTCAGTGACCAGCTCCATCTTGAGCTCCATGGACCCCACGGTTGACCCGTGCCAGGACTTCTTTAGCTACGCCTGCGGGGGTTGGATCAAGGCCAACCCTGTGCCTGATGGCCACTCACGCTGGGGGACCTTCAGCAACCTCTGGGAACACAACCAAGCCATCATCAAGCACCTGCTCGGTAAGCACCAAGAGGATGACCAAGGGATGGGCCAGCGAGGGGCACTGTGTACTGGACCTGCTGGCCAGGCCTGGTCAGAGCAGGGGGAGGCAGGATGCCATGACCAAAGGATTTGGAGCAGGTGAAGTGTCTGCCTGTCACTCACTCTGGGATCCTGCCAAGTAAGGTACTTATCTGCGAGCCTCAGTCTTTCCATCTGTGAGATGGGGATGAATAGCACTCAGGCTGCAGATTTTAGAGCGCTGGAGAGCACACAAGAGCTGATGGCTATGATCTTTTTTTTTTTTTTTTTTTTTTAATGGCTTCAAGCTGCAGGTTAGTCCTTGACTAGCACTGATTGAATTTTGAAAGTTGTGAGTGAAAGAAATTAAGGCCGGACACACTGGATCAGACTTTAAGGTTGTGGTCCAGTGAAAGTTGCAGCAGCCGTTTATCAGAGAGTGAGTTATTCCATGCGGGTGGGAGTCACTGCGGCCTCCTGATAATCAGGCCTGCAGGATAAGCCATCTGGCCAAAGTCCATTCCACCTGGGTGTTGGCTTTCTCCTCAGGTGAGAATCCCACATGTGTCTCCCTTGCAGCCATTTTCCAGGTTAGTATCTGTTGAGTTCTCTCATCCACCCAGCAGGGGATCCCAGGACCACAGAGGTCGCAGCTTTCTCCATGGCCTCCGCAGGGTCCTCCCACTTGTCTCCCTGGGGATCAGAGCAGGTGGTGAGTGGAGGTGGGGTCGAAGGAGCCCTACCCCCCAAAGTTAGCAGAGCCCCAGCTTGAGGTAGCTCCCTGCCTGCCTGATGCTACCAAGGTGCCTTTGAGAGGGGACACAGATTTTCACTGCTGGACTAGGAGCTTCAATGACAGACATGTTGGACACTGCAGAACTGGAACTCAGGACCTTCCCTTCCCTGGTACCTGAAGACAGAGCCAGGGGCTTGGCAGGAGCCCAGCCAAGCAAAGGTGTGGTCCCGAAAGTCTAGTAAAATGGGCTTGCCCTTCTGCCTCATTCTCCAGGACCCGGGTTTCCATGCTCACTCCGCCACTTGCTATGAGACTTTACCTAACTTCTCTGGGCTTGTCTTCCCATCAGCACAGTGGGAACCATGCCTCTTCCCAGTATGAAAATTAGATGGGGAAATCCACTCAAAATGCTCACCTGGTGCGTTAAACAGACCGTGGTGGTTGCTGTTTGTAGAGATGTTACTCTTATTATTCACTTGTGACCTCTGCACAAAATTTTATAGTTCGCAGAGCTCTCCAGTATCATGATCCCATTTGACCCTGTAGAGCGAGAGCACGGTTCACTTCATCTGCTACGAGCTAGACACTGTGCTGCACTATTCATCTACTGCAAAGCTTAGGAATCACCATTCCCTTTTCATAGATGAAGAAACTGAGACCCAGAAATGTTAAGTAACTTTGCCAAGCACACACCATCAGTCCAGCATAGACAGGGGCTCATGCGCTGGGGTCAGCACAGAGAGGATGGGGAAGAAAGGTGGACCAGCATCTAAGTTCCCAGTTAGATCCAGAACCAGACTGGTGCATCGTCCCTGTGGATCCTGATCCCGCTGGTTCTGCAGCCGGTTCCTACTCGGTGGACCTCCGGGCTGTGCTAAGATCGAGTCCATCCCACCCTGAATCCCATACGTGTTGACTTGTGTGTGATGGTTCAGAGCTCCCAGCACAGAGCCTGGCTCCTGCTAGGTACTCGGCAAAGCATAGCTGCATTTTTGGATGGTGTTAAGTGGGTCCAACCAGACTTCCCCTGACGAGCTGTGTGACTAGAACGGTCACTCAGCTTCTCTGGGCCTCAGCTTTTGTACCTGTAAAGTGGGATCCAACTCAGATCACTTGTAAGGGTATTGTAAGATTGGCTGAGTGGTCAGTGTAAAGAGCAATCGTTGCTGGTTTTATTTCTCGTGGCAGCACTGATGTGGACTGAGTTCTCAGGGAAGGTGGTGCCGGCCGTGTCTATGACTGCTGAGTATTTGTATTGTTTTATTTAACTCTCACGGTATACCCAGGAAGCCTCTTTATGTACCCATTTTACAGATGAAATTCACTAAGGCAAAAGAAATGTATTGCTCAGGAAATGGTACAGCTCAGATTCAGAAGCACAGCGGTGGGGCCTCGAAACCTGCGTTCTTTCTCTCCTGGCTGTCCCTAATTGCTCCACTATGCAAAGGCCCCAAGCGGCCTTGCTGAGAAGCCAGCTCACGGGCCCCGTCCCAGGGGCTGCTTGACTCAGCTTTCTGGGTGAGGCCTGATGAAATCCGTAGCTATCACACTGACCAGGGTTCTCCCCACAGGACATGCCCTGGAGTCCCCTCCCCGCAGGCTTACTCCTGGGAACGGTCCAGGAATGACCCCTCACCTGTGGGCCTCCTCTCAGGCCAGCAGCAGGCGAGCAGGTAACAATGTGGAACTGCAGCCCGTGCACTCTTAGGCTGAAGGCCAGGCTGGTTTCAGCTTCCCTGAGACAAAGGGGTCAGCCTGTGGGCCTGAGAAGGAAGCAGTGGATACGCACTGGAGCAGCAGGGAGCCCGGGCTCCAGCTTTAAGGTGGAGAGAGGAAAAGGGACATTCAGAGTGCCAGTGAGGATTGTGTCTGCTGGCCGGGCAGGACAGCTGTCACCATCCACTTGGACGTGACCTTGGACAAGCCACACGTTTCTTTGGTGGTAATTCACTCAGGCTCCCTCGGAGGAAATGCAGACAGATCTGGAGCAAGTGGGCTGCAATAGCCCAGGGGCCACGGTGGCTCCTCCTGGCAGCCTGCTGGCTGGAGGCGGGTGACCTCAGCCATGTGGAACACAGATGCTTCCCCCAAGCAGCCTGCGTAGGCTGCCCTCATAGGCTCTGGGGAGACAGGAGGGTAACCGCACGTCACCATCACTTAGACATCAGGGAAGTCTAGGCATCCCTTAGATTTGGCCTTGCCTCTGGCTTTCCAGCTGCACTTAGCCCAGATTGTCCCACATCTACAGTGCCTGCCCAGCCCCCTACTTCAGCCCTGCAAGACCTTTCTTGAAACTACTTTCTCTGTCTGGCTTCCATGGCCCTCAGAGGGCCTCCTGGGCTCAATCTGCACCATGCCGTGTGTGCCCAATGTTACTTTCCTATGTCTTGTGCTACCAAATGAATGCATACCAGGGCCAAGGGTTTAGCTGAGTGGCATCGCGCCTGCCTCAAAAGCACGAGGTCATGGGTTCAATCCCTGGTACAAAAAAAAAAAAAAAAAAAAAAATGCCTACCAAAAAGTGTAACGTGTGCTTGTCATAACAATCAGAGCAACACAGACTCCATCAGGAAAATGTAGCTGCCTCCCTTCTTTCTATCCCAGACAGCTGTCTCCCTGAGAAATACACACGCAATATTGCAATAGCGCGAAATGTGTCCTCTCTCGGAGTTTTAGTGTGATGTGTTTTCCTGATGTTTATCATCTGGTTGAGTTTCCTCTTCCTGCCCTCTAGGGACAGGCACTGCCCCTTAAATGCTTCTGCCTGATGTCATGTCGGGAAAGGCTAGATGGATCCATTGATTCTAGGCGGGAGGGAATGTCCAAGGCTTCTTGGAGCAGCTGGACCACCCCAGGCTTGCCTCTGGTTTCCAAGTGAATCTGCAAGAAGGACCAGGAAAACGGAAAGACTTGGCCTCCAGTCCTGGCCTCAGCCACTTACTCGTGTGAACTTAGCCAAGCTATCCAGCCTGTTGCCTATGGGTTGGGCAGGAGGATCCTAATAAGAGCTGCTGTGGGGACTGTTGCAACAAAATGCCGCTCACACATAGACAGCCACACCCAGAGGAGGCAGCCACTTTCCCAGGGAGGCTTAAGCTTAAGCCCGGGCTCAGCTCCCAAAATGAGTCTGTTAGCTCTGCGTCCAAGATGGGTTCCTTCACCTCCCTGGGCCTCATTTTTCTCCTCTCTGGAATGGGCTGATAAATGCCATATCTGCCTCATGGTCTCCACAGGAGGCGAGATTGAAGCACAGCACTTGGCCTATAGGAGCCACCAGGAAGCCATGATGGTGGTATCTTTATTTTTCCTTCTCCTGAAGAAAGCGTGTCCTTTATCAGCTCTCTCTTTTCTCCTCACAGCATGGGGCTTCTGAAGCCTGTAGCTAGCTGAACTGAGTCTGTAGTTTTATGTAAAACAAACATGGGTTCTACCGTGACATGGAGTTGGGGCCAGATAGACCCACTCAGCAAGGGAGCCCACAGAATTCCCGCTGGTGCTGGCCCTGCAGCCCACCTCAGCCTGCCTGGGTGTGTGTTTCCTCCCCAAGGAGGGATATAGGAAAAGTTTTTCAATAAAACCCCCCAGAGGAAGGAACGGGCTGGTTAAATGGTGTGCAGTCTTCCCTCTGTGGGACTTTGGGAAGTGAGTGAGGAAGTTCCTGGGACTTGGGTGTCCCTGGAAGGAAGGACACAGGCAGTTAGGAGCACTGTCATCTGGCCCCCAGCTGCCAGATCATTTCCATACCACCCTGAACGTGTCCCCACCTCCAAGATGTGCCCCCCCCGACAGGGTTCCCCTGGGTGTCAGATAGAGATCTCCCCAGTGTCAGAAGCTGAACTTCAAGCTAGAACTTCCTCACTCTGCCCGCCTCAGGCCTCCACAGCTCTTTGCTCTGCCAAGAAATCAGGAAAGGGGAACTGCTCTCCACACAGCCTTCTCAACCTGTCCCAAATGCTTTCTGCCCCTTCTCAGCCACCACCCCTTCCCCGGCCTTCACCCACCTGGTCTGTCCCAGTAGCCTCCCTCCCTGTGACCTGGCATCTTGCTTTGGCTCTTGTTTCCCTGGATCCTGCAAGGTCATAGGTACCCCTGAGTGAGGAGGGAGAGGAGGCCAGAGAGTGTGCTGTGGGTTGTACCCAGGGGCTGTGGGAACCACAGGAAGGAAGGGGAGCTCTTGCCCCCGGCCAGCGTCACCAATGGGGTGCCAGCAAGATGCTCCTGGAGGGGCACGAACACCAGCCCCCAGCCAGGCCCACATCTTGCCTGTTCCTCCCTCATTTCCTCTCCATGCAAATCTCAGAGGACACTGCCTTATCACACTCTGACACGATGTCCTGCCTCATTAAACCTGGACACTGCTCTCTCAGCCCATGTTGCCGAGGGCCTACTGTGTCCCATCTGGGACACAGGAGTGACTAAAACACAGAATGTGGGATGAGGCTGCCCAGGTCCAGCCCCACCTCCGTCTCAAATTGACTTCACCCCTCAAACCAGGCTTCCTGGGCCAGACCTCCCCAGGTCCTCTCTCCTGGCTTCCTCAGTTTCTCTTCAGCCAGCCTAGTGTGTGCCTGGGTGATCCACTGTCCCTCTCACCACTGGGCTGCCAGCCTGTGTGGCCCCACACACAGCCTGGCTGCTGCCAAACACTAAGAACTTAGTAAGCAGCAATGCGAAAGCCAGCAAGCATGACACCAGGCTGTGGGGAGAACTTTGAACTTGGCGGGGGCAGCCTTGCAATGAACTGAGAGAGGCTATGCTTGAAGGAGGGTCTCTCCCTGCAGGTGCCAGAAGGGGCTGGGGAGGCCTCAAGGTACAACTCCAGATTGGCCATGGTTAGCACAGCCAGGCTGGGCCTCAGGTCTTTCACTGCGCCTCTTATCTAAGTGGCCTTGGGCCTGGGGGAGGGAAATGCCAGGCCCTCTCTCGAGCCAGTGCACAGTGACTCCCCATCCACTGGCCCTGGCATTTCAGGGTCATGGCCAGAGCCAGATGTGGACAGTGAGACGCAGTTTCAGGGGCCTGGCAAGCAGTAGTGGTTCTCCTGCTCTCCCTTCCAAGAGCGGAGCTGCTGTGTTGCCATAGAAGTGAGGGCCCTGAAGTGGGAGCATCCCTTTATATTCCCAGGATCTGTTTCCTGAGTTTGAGGGGCTGGCTCTCAGAGACCATGTCTAGTCTCACTCTACGGAGGACCTGGGGGGCACCTGACAACCTGTGGTCATTCAGGCCCCCAACCTCAGGGAGGGGTCTCTTGCCTCTGGACCTCCCTTCCCATCTACCCCTGTCCTGGGCCGTTTCTGGCTTCAGAGACACTGGGCTTGGTGCACTCTGGCCAGAGACAGCATGGTGCTACTTATGCATAAGGAGCAGGGGACAGGGAGCTCTGTGGGGTAAAGACTGGGAAATCTGAGGAAAGACTGAATAGGAAGTGACTTGTGTCCTTGATACCGAGTGGCGAGAACAAAAAGTTTTTTTTTCTTCAAACAGCGTGCTCTCTTTACGCCCCCTTCCTCAGCCCCATTCTCTCGCTCCTGCAAGCAGTACCCTCACTCCTATCTGGTGAACACCTTTCCATGTCTGAGTCACAGCTCAAACAGGAGAACACCCTCTGGAGGCCCCCAACCTCTTCCCACCCCTGCAAGCAAGCAGAGTGACTTTTCTTTATGTTGGAAGTCCTTGAATTGTTCAAAGCACTTTTGCGTCTTTTTTTTTTTTTTTTTTTTTTTTGGTACTGGGGATCGAACTCAGGTCCCTGCACTTGCAAGGCAGGTGGCAGAACCACTGAGCTAAATCCCCAGCCTGCACTTTCGGGTCTTGTGAATTTTCCTTTGCCTATCTGTGTACACTCTTGGACTTTAAGCTCTTACGGGCAGAGAGCAAGTTTTATTTTTGTCTGGTGCCAAGCGTGCAGCAGGAGTCCAGAGTGCTGAGTGCCTTCTGGAAGGAACATCTGAGGAGAGGCTTTAGGTCACCGAGAAGGCCTAGAGCCAAGCCAGGTTTTTACAGTGTTGCCTGTAGGAGCTTTATGGGAACAGGGACATAATCCTTCTTTTCTCCAGACCTTGCAGCCTGCCTGGCACAGAGTACGTATCTGGGATCTGTCCAGTAGACAAAAGGAATCTAAATTGAAGAAAAGTGGCAGGGGCGGTGAGGAGTTCCCCAGGGAGGGGCTGGGGAATCTGGTGTGGTCTGAGGTGGGTACAGGAACCCTGGCACATAGTAGGTGCTTTGAGGACCACAGCAGCAGGAAATAGTTGCCTTCACCTGGTAGAGACGAGAACAATGCCAAGCTGGGCACATATGGGAGCCTGGCCTACAGCAGGTGGCATCTGGACCGGATGCTGAAGAGGGGAGGGAGAGGAGGTGTCCTGGGCATCATGGAAGGTCTGAGAAGGACATCAGGATGAGAAGCTGCTAGCCAGGCCGGGGGTGGAAGGAGGAGGGTGTGGAAAACGGCCCTTTGAGTCATCTGTAAGTCTGGCGACCATGCCTGGCCCCTACAAGGAGGAAATGGAAAGTCGCTTCAGAAAGACTCTGGTCTTTCTCACAAGAAAGGTCAGCTGGGCTCCGAAAACCAAGGCAGGCCTCCATCACACGCACCAGGCAGGGGACCTTGTGCCACATGTTGGCCAGCAGGGAGCAGGCAGCCCTGCCGGGTGGGCATGGGCTGCTGTCTACAAGCCCGAATGGCAGGAAGAGAGATGCCTGGGCCCTCTTCAGATGTGCAGTCAGCTAGGATTTGGGAGGCTTTTAGGTCACCAGCCCTGCCCAGGGACACTTGTACTCCCTAGGCCTGAGCTTGTCCCTCTGCCACAGCAGCTGCCCTGGCTCCTGTTGTACAGCTGGGGGATACCAAGGCTCTGAGGAGTAGCCTAGGGCCCCCCAGAATCACAAGCTCTGTGTGTGTGTGTTGCTGAGAATTGAACCCAGCACATTACATGTGCTAGGCAAACACTGTGCCGTTCAGCCACACCCCAGCCCTTTTGGTTTTGAGATCCCAGTGTCACTAAGTTGCCCTCGCTGGCCTCAGACTTGTGATCTTTTTGCCTCAGCCTCTGGAGTCTCTGGGATTACAGCTGTGCACCACCATGTCCAGCAGGGTTTTCAGAAAGTTCTGTATGCACGTGGCTTTTTCTGTTTTCTTTCTTTCTTTCTTTCTTTCTTTCTTTCTTTCTTTCTTTCTTTCTTTCTTT